CTTAATACCATCTGAAACCTTGTAGTCGCTCATGCTCTGACCCCTCACGTGAAATACCACATAGTTTAACTAACAGGCATATCCGAAGTTGTGTGTGCCTCTATTGTTTTTAGTGCAGTTCATAGTAATTCACATTTTGCTGTTGTTTTATCTATAGACCAATTTCATTCATTGGACTAGGAACTTGGGAAGATCATGCACCAGGACAGTGTGCTAATGGATCTTACAGCAATGCGGTCTGCTTGGCCACCGCACAGCTATGTCTCGTCCGAATTTTGACTATCGGTGCGGAACAACTAAATAGTTAAGCTGAATTATAATAATAATAATAATAATAATAATAATAATAGTAATAATAATAATAATAATAATAATGAAGCAAAAGTAACTAGCTTTGTTCATTTTATTCTGTACGCATATTGCCACAATTTAAATAAAATTGGCATTTCCGAGGATTTAACGCGTTTTTGGGAGTCCATAAATCCCCAAAATGGCTCATGGCTGATTGTTAGTCTTTATTTACACTGATTCCCTAAAATCTGTTTTAAATCGCTTTTGTCCATCCGGTCAAGGTCACTCTAGACATATATAAGTGTTTTCTATCTGCTAGATTACTCGCCCTTTGACTGAGCTGATTATAACTCTCCCCACGAGCTCTGATCTTGTCATGCTTTAGTGTGAGAAGGCTGGTTCTAGCGTCAGACAGTGGATCTGGTACCGTTGAGCTTAGTCTGTTTGTCTTAGTTATGGGCAAAAGTAACGCACATGACCCTGTTTAGGCTATGTTTGAGCACTAGATAAGGTGCTTTTAGTTTCTGAACTCACATTAGAAGATCGTCCACGTCTCTCTTTGTATTTGGAGGGCAATATTGAAGCTCACTACAAGCTAGAAATTAATACCGATGTTTCGGATCCTTTCAATTATGTGTAGTGAAATTGATTAGTAGTAGACATGCACTTTTCTAACGCCCTGGACGCCGTCAGAATTTTTGAGCCCTTATCGTGATCCTGGGGTTTCGATTGAACCAAATGAGGCAGGTTTTGCTTAAAGTGTAACCGTGTCTGATTCGCTAAAGCTCCATACAAGCCTGCTAAGTATTTTTAATGCACATGTAGAAGGTTATTTTATGAATTGTGGAACAATATGATAGCCAAGGTCGAAATCTTGTTATTATGTGTTGTCTAAAACCTCCAAATTTCCTTTTTCCCCTTCTCGTCTTCGATTCTGCCTAGAAGCGTTCGAACTGTTCCTCGGTGGCGAAGTTTAGTAAGTATCCGGGCGACCTGTCGGCGATTATTCAGCTGTGAAATCCACTTCGCAAGTGACGTACAGTTCTCCCTTAGTTGTTTGACCATTAGAGAAACTTCTTCTGTTGTTCCTGGGGTCTTTACTGTGCAACTTGAGCCAACCATAGCTTTCCTAATAGCCTCAATAAGTCGAAGAGATTTCTGTAGTGCCTTTTCTGAATTTGCTATTTGCATTTGAGTGATGTGGCCGTTGACATTGTCCTGACTGCTGTCTACATAACTGGTTCCTTTAGCTGGTTTTACAATAACCTGCCCAGTTTTTAAAATTTTGGGTTGCACACAACTCTGAATTGCTGTGTATTTCATTGGTTGCCTCTTAACCTCGGCGATACCACCGTCCCCCTCCATTTTCAGATACTTCTCAACTATACCATCGATCCTCCTCTGATCCTCGGAAGGCACGGCTGTGGCAACCACGGCAGCAGGTAGACTGTCAATTAACTTTTGTACAGCCTTTTTTATCGGCGTTGTAGAAATGGGATCGTAAAACCATGGAAGGTGGTATTTCACACTTTGAAGGACATTCTCCAGATGGATGAGACTTTCGGCCAACGTGTCTGCTTGTGTATTTGTGCCTTCCATCGAACTACGTTACTAGCGCTCAAAACCATCACGTGGTTTTCGTGCTCGCGCGTGTGGTGCATATCGATCCGTTCAAAACACATTTGTGTTCAACCGCATTGAGGCAAAATATTACACGACGCAGCCATGCGAGGTAGATGAGGGCAAGCGCAAGAAGAACTGCTAGTGTACTACGCCATAAAAGTTTGTTATTTGTTAGTAGGATGTGGTTGTGGGTCAAGTATACATTAGGGAAGTGGGCAACCAATCACGTGACGGCGGTTAGGGTAAGTAGGACAGACCATGGAGTCGTGTGTATTACGCGAGTATGCAAATCACTTAGTATAAACATTTTTGTTTTTCAAATCAAAGTATTATAATATAATAATTACTAGAGGAACATGTAAAAAATGAGTCCAGAATATATTTTCAGCCCTTTACAGAAGGAAATTAAGTACTTGTATACTGCTGTCGATTGTCTTTTTTTAGAGCGACTCATAAATAGGTTTCCAAAACTGCGATTTTGCTTGAAGGCAACAAAAAACATAAATTCATCCAGACATATTATGGTCAAAAATTAGGGCTGTATGGTGCATAAATCACTGACGGGAGGAATATTTTGATGAACGGTCGAAAATTATGGAGAGAGAAGGTAGAAGACTGCAAAGCACGTTAAACCGTATATTATTAATGAATACTCGATGGCATAGCAACCTTTTTTAAGCGTGAAGCATGTAAACGAAGCATGCCCACTTATTGTAGTGTGGCAACAAAGAAGTTCACAGCATGCGTTCAGCTTGGTTACTTAATTCCTAAAATCCCACTGAAAAAGGTTCACACAAAAACAACATAATGCTTGTAAAGTGAGCGAAGACTATCCGAACGAATTTATTACGATTTGGTTGATGTTAATTATCCACTCTTACGTTTTATTAGCCGTGGTTCCCAAGCCCTCGATAAACACTCTCACGCGCCCTCACGCAATGACACATTAGACTGGCCTCTTTGGTCACATCAGCTGTCCCTTTTCTTTGCGTCTGTGGTGTTACGGCCTGTTATCTCACAGTTATGATGCTGCGTTAGCTACTCGCCGCCGGTATTCTGAGAGCGCATGTGGCTGTAAAGTGCTACTGAAAACAAGATTTGTTGAGAAGTCAAACTGAGCTTATTCACAAACCCACATTTCTTTTGAGAATCCGTTTCCTCGCTTACGCTAAGTGATTTGATTAAATCATTGAATGCGTTATTATCTAGTGGATCGTAACCGCATTGTACTGCCGTTAGAGGGAATACAATTATATGAATAAAAATATCACTATTTTTAATCGTTCTAAGGTGATGCTTTCCAATTTCTACGTTAGCTTGCTAGTTCGTGGAAGAAACCCTAGCCTCGTGACTGCCGTACAATGACGTTCGGATTTGAGCAGCAATATCAAAGTCAACATTTTTAATGAGTTTACCTGATTTTAAGCTTGACATGCAAGGGGATCATTTTTAAGTCGAATTTTGTAGAGTATAAGTTTAGCGACGTACCACAAAAATTAAATTTTTTTAAAGATGGAACCGCTTGTCTGTATCTGTTTGATACGTGGAAAAAGCTGAAACCACAGCGATTTAAAATATTAGATAATTTGTGGATTTTTTTGAAATGCATGTTTCACTCTCACCATGCGCCTGTAGGGAATCCTATCGATTAATGTCCGTTAATCTGGTTGTTGCGGTCCGCGACTTACTGCCCCCCCCCTTGTTTAGCCACGATGGGCCAACTGCTCTCACACTTCGGTGCATTTATTGCCTCCGCTATCGATCGAACTATTCCGTCCACGCACTTATTTGTACGTCATCCTGTTCACCCACGCTATTGACCAATAACTACATTAGACACGCACTCACATAACACAACTAGGTTGAGACGTCTAATAAATGGTCCTGTCTCTGCCGTCTCTGGTCTTCTACCTGTATTTTTGGGTATTCGAGTGGCTCAAAAGTGCCAAATTCTATTCAGCGGCCCTGGCGTGGTTCAAGGCCACAAAAAAAGAATCCTCAACACGCCAAAGGACTGAGGTCCCGCATCGATTTCTGGTTAACAGATAGCAAGTCAGACACCTCCAGAGGTGCCTAAGTAAAGGCCATAGGTTAAGTGAACAACGATTCAAAAAGTGAGGTTTAAATTTCCATCAAGATCAATTTATACGCCAAACGTACTTAAGCTAGGCTAGGTTTAAAGGCGTTTCCAGCCGGCTTACCCAAGCTTACAAGTTTTTTTACTCAAAATTACTCGAACTCTACTGATAAGAGCCCATTCATTCTTTTTTTGCGTTTGCAAAAAAATATGCTTGCAAAATTCAAACGTCACACTGCGGATATCCTGTTTTTGATCAGGCACATATAGAAAACGTCTACTATAGCTCCCACCTAGATTTCATTTTTTTAAGATCCTCTGGCAACGCAGGCATCATCTGGCCTGTAGTTTACAGGACCCGTGACTCCGAACACTGCAGACGAATGAACTTTACGATCCTATCCGGCATATTGATTCGCGTACTTTCAGGCAGCGAACCAGCCAACCAATCATACCTGTGCCTTATGTTAGGCCTACAAGTGCGTACTAACCAATCAAATATGTGAAGTGGCACTGCAATCAATAGACGGGCACGTCTACACCCGTTTTTAACGTGCCAACAAACTGAATTTGCATATAAAGGAAAAAAACCAAAACGATCCCACAAAGTTCAAATAACTTCAATCATCGAAATAATAAACTGGACCAAACACGGAAACCCTAAAGTAATTTTAGCAAACTCAGAACGATGGTAGAAGGTTATTTTGATTTAAAAAACTTATCACCACGGAACGATTTTCTCATCACCTGTTTTAAAGAGATAGTGGACATACTTATGAAATTTTTAAGGCTGTAAATAATGTGGGTATCAAAGGTATCGTTTGAAGAAGCAGGTTTGAGATCTCAAATAAAGATTTTCTCTTGTCATAATTGGAAGGCTATCAAGAACCACAACCATGGACATTTTTAAAATCGATGAAATAAAATGAAAAAATTTAACAACTGTAATGGTAAAGTAATCATGTGGCTGCAGAACGGTGCAGAGAACAGTTTCCTCTTTTCGGTGCTTTCGCATGACACATTCTAGGACAGTGAAAACCTTTTTTTAAATTTGATAACTTCCCAGTCTATTCTTTATCTAACATGCTAATTAACTCCAATTGGAGTGGCGAGATCAGTTGAGACTCAGACTGATTATTTACTGTGATTCTAATGGCAATAACTTTATCTTTATAATTTGACAAGTCTATCGAGAAACGTATTCAATTACTACCGCTAAGAAGACATATATTTCAGTCTTAAAATAATTTAGAAACTTGGCTTGATTCGAACTGATTATTATTGCTAATAACGTTATCAGCGTGATTTCACTGATTACATTTGCGTGTGTCAACTGGCTAGTTCGTTATGTGTTCACCAAAACTTGAGTACAATAAGTTAATTTAGCAGGTTTTACCCAAGTGCAAAGACACAAAGCTATCCTGTAACCATAAGCTTATGAACAGCTAAGGTCGTTCGGTCAAAGCAAGGCCAGTCAGGAAGACGCAAATATTGCCGTTACAATAGAACATCGGGTAAATCGGCTGGGCTTAATTACTTTCGAGAGATGCAACGGCTTAATCTGGAATTTTGAAGGGTGAAATATAAAGCACCTCGGGCCTCTGCAACGCGCCAACGCATAGGTGTATGGTGTATTTGAGGTGTGAGAGTGTAGTCAATCTATTTCTGTTGTAGAATCATACAATTTCATCCGGTTTGAGTTATTGCGCCATAATTTGGTGCTCTAAATAGTTTGGAAAAGCTGGCGTTTTAGAGTGGCTTTAACTAAAACTGCCAAATTGTTCACTTGGCATTAATTTCGCAAGTGGAATCATGCAGAGTAGATGCTTTTACCAGTTTGCTGGGTCGTGTGCTATCCTTGACGCATATTGACACCGACCAGTCATCACATTTAGCGAGAATTGGGAACGACAACGAGAACGAAACACCTGCCCACTGCTGCTGACGTGTTTTCAGAAAACAAACACCTTAATTTTTTATGGCAGCTTTCGTTTGGGCATAGTAGATGTGGCTATTATGAATACTTTTGCACAATAGCCTAATCTTTAACGTAATGCCTTTAGATAAACTGAGACGAACAGCAAAGTGTCAAATGACCTTAGAAGTTCCTGGTCAGCTCCACTCCTGGCATTAGATCGGACATTAAGTCTTATTAATTAGTCAATCATTAGCCCTTCTTCGTCGCCCCCTCCTCCTTAGAAAAAGTCACTTTTTTCAAATCTGGTCATTAACCCGATCCCACTAAAGTAATGAAGAAGTGCCGACCCACACCCTTTTAGTTATCACTATTTACGGATACAGGATAGCGTTTTACTATAATCAGCATTTGTCGATGGCCGCTAGTAGGTAGGGGAACTACCTCTTGCCATGTGCGCACTGGCACACAACATTGATCTTGCGCGCGTGGTTGTGCATGTGGGTTCGGCACGGGGGGAGAGGTTTGGAGGCGACTGACCAATGGCATCACGCGAAGCTGATGCACGATGTCTTCCGTTTGCCCAGCAGGCGGTAGCATAACACTTCCTCTCAGGCACCAGTAGCTTTGAATTTCAGGGATTCAATCAAGTACACACACCAGGAACAAACATGTCGGAAGAGGAACGTGCGTAAGTTTGAAAATGATACTTTTGCCGGCTCTGTGTTATGTGTGGTTCTGAGTAAAATATTGTTTTTGCTCAAAAATTTACGAATTCAGGAGGTAAGTATTATTTATTCGCCCGCTGCGCCCATGATCCTTATTATCAAGCATGATTAACTTACCCGAACGGCCAATTTCCTGCCTTCATTTCCTAACCAATTAGCCATTTTCCCCAATTTACTATTTATCCGAGACTTGAACGTGCTTGGGATTTGCCCCTTTACTTCCAGCGTGTTCATAAAATAACATGCTGATAATAATCGATTTTTCTTTTTAGAGATGAAGGCATTAGCGAAGTCAGGCTTAAGATGGAGGTAAGTGGTTGATTAATAAAACATATTGTTTTACTTGATCGTGCATAACTTATTTCCATCGGTACGCTCAAAGGAGTTGTTATTTTGCTCCTGGCGTTAGGTGTGTTATGGAACTATGAGACAGCACCAGATTTCCTCAGATTAAGTCTCAGACTGCAGGTACGCCAAAAAGGTCTATGCATTAAGGCCAACACAGAGGATAAATTAAGAGACGTCCAGTCTTCTCCATTTCTTTTTGGTTGCTAGTTTATCCTTCTTAAAATTGGTGAGAGTGCTATTAATTCATGAGCGAAACTTGAAGCTCTGTAATTCAATGACTAAATGGCGCCGAATTTCTCAGTTTTGTGATACGGCATAACAGCTGATCTATAAATTATTTTCTTTAAAATCACGTGCTAAAAAGCAGGAAGCGATTCTTACATGAATCCCACCAATCAACTTACTAACTTACTTTTAGGAGGATGCTCGTAGGAGGAAGGAGATGGCAGAGGTGGAGTGGCGGGAATATGAGGAAAACCGTCGAATTGAACGGGAGAAGGAAGAGGAAGAGATCAGGCAACTTCGTGAACGACGTGTATGTGCTTTTCCTTGCAAATAACCTTGAAATTTTCCACCTATACCTTCCCAATAAGCGCCAGCGCCCAAATTACGGCAACGTTTCTGCACGGTGGGAAGGTGTCTGTCATTGAAATGACCGTCATTTTATCAAGGGAAGGTCAACTTTTAACAATCCAGCGGATAAAATTGCTTCTAAATTAAGATCCATCCTCTCCAACTCTAAGCGCAGTAAAAGGCATTATTGGGTACAATTTGTTCGCCTCTGATCAGGTACTCCCAATTACCAAACAAATCAGGCTAACCTTCAAAGCTCCATCATTTTCATGATTTTGTTGCTGCACAGCAGTGACTGGATTGACCTCAACTGAACTTTCAATGAACTACCGTTTTCGAGGTCAACGTAATCTCACCCATCATTCCGATATCTTTGCTCCTGGTTCCTAGTATAATATAAACTTATTTGATTTACGTCTTCGCGGGCGTATCTGTTGTTTGACAACACATTTGACACTTGTCCGTCACATCAGATAATGGGTAAGCTAGGTTTATACAGCTAGATTAAATTATTTTATATGAAATTTTTTTAATGCGGTCGTACATAATGGCTAAATAACATCGGGTACGGGAACTGCCTAACATGGTTCTAAGGTAAGTGTAGAGGTCTTAGTGAATGACGCAAACCCCTATTGAAGTCAACTGTACCACGTAGGTGCACTAAAAAAGAACATGAAGACGGGAACTCGAACTTTCATTGAATCACTAAGTAAATGTCAATTTCGGGAGCACAAAGGTTTGGAAGTGAATGGAATGGATTAAGTGCAGTTAAAACCAGTAGGAATCGGTGTAAATGGGTGAGAACGGTGTGACAAGAAGGGGGAATGGTGCATAGGAATAGCATGGCTTTTGAGGAGGACCTATATTCTGCGTCTTAAAGAGTTAACCCACAAACAGTTAACCTAATCATCTTTGGGAGTGACTACTGGCATTTCCGCAACAACTTTGACCTGGGATTTATTCGTTTCGGTGACTGGCTAATAAGTCTAAAGGGATCTAGTCAACTTCGCAACTCAATGAAAACCTTTCCTATTTGTGTTTGGACCTTATTGGCCATGCCATTCTATTTAGGAACGTCGCAAGAAGGAACGCGCTGAAGAGGAAGCTCGTATGGCTGAGGCCCGTGCCATTGAGGAGCAGAAACGCCGTGCTGAGGAGGCAAGTGATGATTACCACGTCCACTTTCTAGTGTGTTTTAGGTTGTTTTTGCACATCCTGTCTGCTTTCCGACTTTGCAATGTATAATAAACTAGACTTTACCCTTCACATATCACTAATCCATAAAACGGCTTGAAAAATAGCGTCAAAGAAAGTAAAGTTTCTTTTCTAGAGTCTAGTAGTGACCAAAACATTCAATCTTAGTAAAGCGAGACAACAAGGAATGTTTTGTTTCGGTTAGATGAAACTGCCTGGTTTTAGACTTAAAATGTAACCGAAAGTATTGATGAACTCCCGCTTGCCGATGGCAACGATGTTCTACACATTATTTTGAACCCTACACGGTTATGGTATTCCGATCTAGTCTCAATTAGACATATTCGGGAAGTTGACCAAACGGTTAAAATTCGTGAACTCGGGAGTTTGAAATGCGAAGCTTTGCTGTAGGAGGAGCGCACGCGCAAGAAGCGCGAGGAGGAGCAGCGCAAGCGTGAGGAGCGCGAGCGCAAACGCGCCGAGTTCGAGGAAAAATCGAAGCTGGCCACTCGCCGCAACTTCGTGATCAATAAGAAGGCGGGGTCCGTTGAGGTGAGTTGTTTACCCACATCGGAAAGCCACCAAATTCACTTTACATACGAGGGCTCTGTGGATTCCGAACATTAGAAGTTAACCCTTGGTAAACTAATGTGAAAGTACGCTATGCCTCTTCAATTTATCATAGTGAAAAATGGCCAATAGCTAAGAAGCGGTTCTTTAACAGCAATCGCCTTGTAGCAAACACCAAATGGTATAATTACTGGCACCTTTTTTTCTAATCAAAAGCCGGTCTTTTGTTTTGTAAAATGATTTCAATAAGTTTGTTTTTGCTAAATGGAAAAGATTGGAGCAAGGACAGAAGGTTGTAAGAGTTTTGGCAACTGTCATTTTAAAATGCATCTGAAAAACACCAAACTGTTTGATAAAATTATGGTTTAGAAAAGGTAAATTGATTCCATTAAAGGTCATTGTTATTAGTTGAATATTGGTGCAGATCACAAGCGGAAATAAGGCATATTCAAGTTTAACTTGGAACAAAAAGTGTATTACTGTAAAACTAGTGGTGCTTGTTCATGTAACACAGTGGAGGCATGTAAATTAGTGAATGTTTATCATGACTATGTCATCTTAAACCAATCCGATTTGATTTCTCTCTTTTGAACAGGTCCAGGTAACAGAAAGACACACATATGTGCATTAGATTTATTGTAACTCAAAGCACCTCAAATAACCTTATAAAAGAAGTACTAAACTCTGCATGCTGAGGAAAGGGGAATTTGTACTAAGACCTTTGGCTCTTTCTTCCCACAGCTTCAGGTAATAAGCACCGACTTAATCGAAACTAACCATTGCTCAAAGCGCCTTCTGCATGCTACGTGTCCTCTGCAGATCGGACCCCGCTGGTTCATGGTGTACACATGATCAATTTAGACACGAATAGCGTTGCTGATTTAGCACACCACGTTTTGTCGTGATTCTCGGGGCTGATGAAATCACCATTTTACTGCAAAATCTTACGGTGTCTTCCTTATAGTCCAGATGACAATTTTCATCACAAATAAAATTATTTAAAATAACAAACACCCAGATTAGAAAATTTCTCAAAATCCTAAATGCAAAACCTTTTCGGAATGGCCAACAAAGCAGGTTTACAAAGTTCATCTCACTTCTGGAAGTTTTTTTACTCTGCAATCACCGCCATTGTTTTTCCCATTTTGAGCGATACCCTCCAAATATTTCAACTGTTCACTGCCAGCTTACGACCGGCAAAAGAAGAAAACTACGAAACATTAGTGATTTGGTGGTGTATTTACTGCAGTTCTGTTATTAGGAGTGATGGCATTATTATTGGAAGATGCAAGTGATTCTGCTTATCTAGGAAAAAAATTAACGATCGGTTAATCTAAGACAAAAAGGAGAAAATTTCAACAGTACAAAAACCACGTAGGTTCATTTTGGAGGAGACGTCAGTTCAATTCTACAGTGGACTGGTTACACTGGAATGTACATTGGTTTGTGAAATACCCTGCTAAAGCAGAGCATGAACAAATAACCCTAACTGGGCACGCCTTGTTGATGTCTGGGAAAGAAGCCGGATTCCTGCTTAACCACGGTTGATCAACTAACCTTTCCGCATGAAAATGCATCATAATGCTTAATGTTAATCACTGATTACTGTCTTATTTTGCAACTCTTAGCAAGTTGAGGAAGTAAAACACGAGGAGGTTCAAAAGTCCAAGGAACAGCTGGAGGCTGAGCGCAAGGCGATTCTGGAACAGCGCATTCAGCCACTGCAAATCGACGGGATGAAGGGTGAGCAGCTGCGCGCGAAGGCCAAGGAGCTCAACGACATCATTCTCAGACTGGAGGGTGACAAGTACGATCTGGAGCAACGTTTCACGCGTCAAAGCTACGACGTAAGGGTGGTTTTGCAAGTTTCGTTGTCATGATCATTAGCACACTGAGTCCATACATTTGTCTTTGCGGAATGTTCAATCCCAGCTCCTTACACGATATTACTTTAGTAGTGTTTACCAGGTAACCTGCATGGCGGTTTGAATCAAAGCAAGGTACTAAGAAACTACTGACCGCAGTTACAGTGTACATCACACACACACGGGCATGATTCAGATGACTCATGCCGCCTCATTTTGAGCAATCTAAAAAAGTCCACGGTAGTCAATGTGTGTAACATCAAAGTTACTGAAAGACTAGTAACAATGCCTCAACTGCCCCGTTAAATCCAGTGAACCATGTATGGTGACTTAATCAGTTGCGAGTTTTGGTCCAGAGAAGGACCGTGTCAAGACTAACCAGTTTCTCTGTTTCCGCCTTTAGATGCAAGAACTGGCTGAACGTGCTAGGCAAATGAACAAGGGGTGAGTTAGTATTTTTGTGCAATAAAGTAATCCAGTATAATCTCACGTATGCAGGTATGGACATCAACGCAGTACTTTTGGGCCTTTTTAGAGACAAGCGTGGAACCAAAGTTCAGAACACACCGTAAGTCAAGTGAATAAAGTAATATTTCAAAATTATATAATCACGTTTTAATAAAACCCCATTTTCATCCTTAGTATTGTGGAAATGTAAGGGACAAGTGTATTTTGAGCCGTATTTTCTGTAGTTTTGTCCGTGTGTGCGCATGCAAGTAGACCTGGACTGCATCAGACAGGTAAACGAAAAAAAATAGTTCTGGCTTTTACCAACGTAGTTCTTTTTGTCGAAAATTGAGGTATTTAGATGAAACTGGTCTGACGACGCTAAAGAACCCCAAAAAATTAATTTTATCAAAAACTAGAAGAATGCAGTATACACGAGGTTGTTCCGTAAACAATTGAATCAGATGTCAAGGCCTGCTTTACGTTTTGCAACCAGGACAAAGACTCGAGACACCTGAGGAGTGAGTGTTTTTACTAATTTAGTACGGGTCCCGGTAAGTGACTCAAATCGATGGACTAAAGTGTCTTTAGAAGTCGTCAGAACAAACGAAAGCCAAATCTCTCCGTGTGTTGTTTGCTGTTTGGTGCAAACATATCCCAATTACATCTAATCACAGCATACTTATGAGCATTTCAAAATCTATTTTTTTTCTCCATAAATACCAGCTTTCATTATATTCCAACTCCCTTTCCCCTAATCGTGTGTAGAATATGTTCCAAAATCGATTGAAAGCTAATTGTTCATCACACAATTTCCTATAAAAGGGGCTTAATTTAATGCAAGCCTTTAGTAATTATTTGGCATTTAGTAAGCATTTATTGCGTGTTATTTGCCCTCGTCTTGTGGTAACGGAGTACAATTGAGTCCGGTTCACTTTCGCTCGGTCCCAAAACATAATAGCGTTTTATGTAATAGCTTTTGTCAGCCTGTATTCTCAAAAGCTTAAGCCCTGCAGTAGTTTTGCAATGAATGATGATACTTGTAGTCCTGACATTGGCATGCAAACGATTTCAATTCAAGTCATGTAGGAAGACCTTATGCATGAATACACTTAAACGTAATTTATTGAAGACGTGGGATAACCCAAATCATATTTGTTTGGTTTTATTTTTATAATTTTAGCGATCCTCTCGCTGCAAAGATTAGTGGTCTCCCGGTAAGTTACGCATTCGAACTCACACTCCTCCAAGCTTTGAATACCGATAAAGTAAAGTTAGGTAAGACGAATTGACCAATAAAAAAGACGATTTAAAAACGAATAATGTCGAGGCTGCTTAAAATGAATTGAATATAAATCGCCTCTGATTAGCCACCTCATCTTCAACCACTTCATTTCAGCCCAAGATCTCCATGTATAGTGAATACGAGCGTGTGAAAGACCACCGCAGTTTCAATGAGCGTCAAAACGTTTTCAGTGGTCCACTCTTCACGGAGAGGTATGAGAGAATTGAGCCCAAAGTCCACGTCGTCATGACAGATGACGGCTTCCAAATTGGAGACGCTCCCCAAACTCGACCTGCCGCGGCCCCAGAACCGACCGAGGAACCGACTCCCGTCACCGCAGAATAGGCACCATATTTAACTCCTCTTCTACATCAACACTCATTCACCCGTCCCCCACACATCTATCTACCAGGAATTAGATACAAAATTTCGGTTATCGCTCTGTGGCTCGACCTCATGCGTTTTCTCCCCTTCAGAATTTCACCTTTTCCTCTTTGTCTCAGTAATCCCTCACACAAACACACACAAGTGAATATATATATAGAGATGGCCTCAATGAAAACCACATCACGTTTTACTTCTTACCGTTCTTTTTACTAGCACACTTAAAAAAGTAATAGCGAAACACGTAGAGATGATTACTTAATTTTTTGTTCCCTGCCTTTGAGTGTTTGTACTGCGGACGTGGGCCTTAAAGATTATATTAGATCACGTGAATTAGGAATAATACCTCTTTTTACCTCCATTTATTGCCAATAGCTCCTAAACGTTAAAGTTTAATTATCTTATGCTTTCTTAGGTCAAATCTATGTTTTCAGATTAGTGGCACGAAAACAAAAAGTGCATTTCTTTGGCTTCTAAATTTTCACAAAACCAGTTTCTTTATTAATGACTTGCTCACAAAACTACACCGTCAAAATCTATGAACCTGTCAAAACTTCAAAACACCAGATCACCGGCTTTTTGCACAAGACCGGTTAGGATATGTCTTTATGTTTCTGCTGGTTGATACGCACGGAAAAAAGATACTGAAAAGTTTTTTGGGCCTGATCACTATGCCACGAGATTTACCTGATAAAAGTGTCTACCACTAGTACTTTTGTGGATTGTCCCATGTAGGATCACTTCGCTGGGGTTTAAACAACACCCTTCATCTCGCATCTATAACGTCACGTTGGAATAAAGATTTAAAATTTTCGTAGAGTAACATGCTTAACTCTTTGATTTGATTAAACGATGAAAAGGTTCTATTTTCAAATAATTTATTGACACTAATAAGGGATAAAATGCGTAGTGATAAGATGAGCATTACCAGCAGTGGTTACAGGAATGAAAGTTCAACCCATATAAAAATAGGCACGCCTCTGTCAAACATAACTAGCCTGTGGTTTGGGGAAAGAAATGGCATAATTTTCAACGGGCTGCTGAAATGAAGTGCCTATCCCTTGATCTGTTGCCAGGGTAGATCTCCCTTGTTGACTCACAATAACCGATTTGGCTTTAAGTCTGGGGTAATGTTCCGACAAGGCGTCATTGCCGATCGCGACCAGCTCGTTATCGGCATTAGTTTCAAGACTGTCGCACACAGCTAGCTCTGGTTCAGATTTGTAATGGTTTGAGTTTTTCGCAACTTGATTGCTTCCAAGGCTGCCTGAGAAGGTTAAAAAGTCGCAGCTGCCTTGTGAAGGTGTAGAATTGCTTGCGAGCTTCGTCCGATTTGTTTTTTGACGTTGTTGAGGGACGTCTGGATAGCGGACCACCACAGCATCAGCAGCGGATTGAATGATGGGCACGAGAGACTAAAACCAAGTTAACAGTTCACATCGAACCAAATTGCAAAGTGGAAGGGATGTTAAACAAAGGACTGGGTCGGTTGCTACTACGTTTTCCAACAAACACGTAGCTTCTCAAGATAATAGTTTAGACTAAAAACCATGTGATGAACTAATGCTCAAAATCGTTATGCTTGATGTAAGAAAAATTTTAACTTTAAGATCCCATTGACACATTAGGTGAAAATACGAAAAACGACAAAACGACTGATTCCTAAAAAAGTCATACAGACAGTAAAATGCAAACACGGTTTTTTAAGTAGATATACTATGTGGGGTGCAAAGAGTCCACCAACCCGTAGGATCTTCCTCATGTACACTTACTTGATAATGATGGGGGTCAACGATGTCCCGTGACTGGACGTAGAGTGATGGTAGGTGTACAGATTCGCCATATCGATCAGATGTACCGAAAAGATCGGACCGGTGAACTGGAGAAATTGTGGCTGGGTGAAAACCCATTGCTGAGATATTGCAGAAGTTGGGTTTTGACCTGGAGATTTCCTCGCTAGGTGACACTAAAGGTACAATGGTAAAATAGCTTTTTACATTCATCTATCACATGATGTAGCATAATAAGTAGAAAGGAGCTAAGAAGTCTAGCACCATGCACAGCGTGATTTTTAGAAGAAGGTACTGTTTGTAGAAGGCAAATTATTGTGAGCGGAGTCACACACCGAGAACTAAGTAATAGGCTTTTGAATTTAATAAGCGGCTTTTAGAGGTTAAAGAGAAACAACGATACTGAAACGCAGACACAAACGACTTTAGCCACTGTGGTGGATTAAAAACAGGGGCTGCACAGTTTAAAATGATAAATTGCTAACTACATTGCATGCCAGAGCACCTCGTGCGCGGGAGAATAAAGGCAGATGACGGGGAACAGAGGAAGAAAGTTTGGTTGACACAATTTGCACAAACACGACGGGTCTGAGTTACGCTACTTAGATTACCATTGCAAAGATAAATGTCTGTGGCGAATCTAAAAAAAAGGACTAGCAAACAAACTGGTGGCGAAATGCTTTGATTCCTATGGTAAGTGTGCTCTCACTTTCGCTGAAGGCCAGGTTCGCTGCCATGACTGATCAAGAAACGTCAACATCAAGGTACGCTTGGAGAGATTCTCACATGGGCATAGACGCAGGAAGGAAAACCAGGCAACTTACTAATGGGCCTAAACGTGCCTGTGGGGATCGACACCATTCGAGACGATTGTGGCGCTTGGCTTACCGGGAGATCCACGTGGTAGCATTCCGTGTAGGGCTTTGGCTGAAAGCATGATATGACTTTTACGTCGAGTAAAATGCAGAACGATCCGATTGGGCCTGGCGCCAAAATAGTCAAGTCTGTGGCCCATACACTTTTCGTGAGAGAGTAGTCATGAGCCAATTAATTAAACTCGAAATAAACGACCTGCACTAGATTCAAATGAAAGATGTGAATTGAAGTAAATCAAGTCAGATGGAGAGTAATAAATAAACCATCATTCCTGAATGTCCCTAGGTGAAAATAACTTATCTCGTTCACATATTTATAATTGGCGTCCAAGATAAGGCTAAAAATTATTTGTCTAGTATAATATTGCGGAACCATTGGAACAAAACAAAATATTTTTACCATTTCAATATTGGGTAGGTTTGCCAAATCAGTAATATCAAGCGAATTGACAGATTTACTTTAAATCTCGGATAGAACCGCGGAACGCTTCACAAAAATGAGAGTTTAGGAAACACATATAAACCTACAGGCCGCTCACAAAAATCACGACCATCAACGGCAGACGTGAGACACCACGAACTTTCATTTTCAAGTGAGACAAGAGCGCCACAGCCGCTGCCGCCCCCAGCACTACCGCCGCGTGCATGCTGACACTTGGAACCAGTAATGACGAACTCTCCGGAGGCCCCCGGCGGAAGAGAAGGAGGAGGTAGGGAAACTTCAATGCGACCGGGCAGCACCAGATCTTTCACGCCTGTTGCACACGCATCTTTTACGTTCTTTGACCTGCTTACGTACTCCGGGCTGCTGTATGGGTTTGCGGACGAGACTCCCCTCTGGAACACCGCGCAAAAGTCAGGAAGACATGGAAAAAGCTTTTGATGACGTCTTAGGTGGAAGAGAAGCACAATGAGTACAACGAAACCGGCCACCATCAAGCTTATAATAACAACCAGCACAAGTTCAGAGATATTTCGACTACTCCCGTTGAAGTCACCTTGGCGTTGATAGATTTGACCGACAGCGCTACTGGCAGAATAAGCCCCCGAAGACGCCGACTCTTTAGGATTTGCTGCAAAGCGAATGCTCGAGGCGAATTGAGGTGGGGAGCGATCCACAACAAGCCGAATTACTTGGCGTGTTTCTCGTGGAGGGCTTCCAAGATCACGAACTACTAATTGCAGACAATGCTCCCCTAAATCGGCTTCGGTCATTCGTCGTTGTGTTTTTAAAAGACCCTTTACCGCATCCAATTTAAACAAGTCCCCGTCAAGCGCCGTCCTCGCTAACTTCGAGGGATCTGCCCACGGAACTGACGGAACTGGACCCAGCTCAAAAAAGAACTTTCCATTGTCTCCCCCAGAATCCTTATCATTTGCATTGACGCTTAGAATTTCGGTATCGGGCTGTTCTAGATAGGAAAGGGAATGGACATGAGTAGTTGCGGTGGCTGGTTTAGGAAAGATAATCTCGGGGGCGTTGTCGTTCACATCGACCACCGAGACAATAACAGTGGCGGTAGCCGTGTAACACTGGTGTGAGGATCCCCCACAGTCCGACGCCTGGAGGTTAAAACGAAACATCTCCTCCTCCTCACGATCTAAGGTCCGAGTGACATTTAGGAAGAAGCGTCCATTCTTTGTGGGAACGATTTCAAAAGGCAAATCTAGCAGTCCGTGTCCAGGGTTGATAATAAGGTTGATTATATACTGTGGTCGTTCACTGACACGTGGTGGGGAAGGATGAGAGTCGGAAACGTCGTGATATCCCTCCATGGGAGCTCCAGCGTCAGCGTCGTAGACCAGGATCTCTCCAATGCGTTGCGGAGCAGAGCTGTTCTCGAGTGCAGAAAAGTTAATTTGTGTGAGAAAAAACACGGGAGGATTATCGTTGTCATCCTTGATTTCAATTGCCAACAAAACGTAGGATGTGAGAGAGGCTGGCAGACCCCAGTCGTAAACTTCTATAAAGAGGTACAGCTCATCTCGTATGGGTGAAGACTGTTCCCGGTCAATCATCCTGGTCGTGGTTACATCTCCGTTGGGCTCCATCTACAAGGAAGAGCGGGAAAGGGTACTGCAGATTTCCTCCTCGAATACGTCGTATTTACATTATGATACCCTACGGCATCGATAAAACAGTGAATGAGACGGCGATACTTCAGACTAAGACAAACATTCAATGTCTCGTGTGCGGGTCCTGTGGCTAGCTAGAAATAGTTAATTTCTGGGAATTACAAAATCAGACCTGAAAACGACACCTGACACTAGAGCAGACAGCAAAAGTCTAATTGACAACCTTGAACAATAACTGTGGCACTAAGGTAGTTGGCATTTTGACAGCACACACGCCTAGCGTCTAGTACATCGTCTCCGCCAAATTCTGCTAAAGTATCTTTTTAACTTAGAAATGGCACCACTCCACTGATGAACGCCTTTTTCCATGTTACTGTGAATATGGTACCAAAAATAACTAGCCCAAATTTCGGACATACCTTCAACAGATCTATCGAGGTGGTGTCCGAGCGGATGAGAACAGGCGGGAGGTTGTAGTCGAGGGCGACCTCGGGGTACCGACCGGGGCGTCGGTCTGCCGAAAGGGGGCCAGGAGCGACGCGAGGCAACCGGAGGTCCTCCTTCAGGATGCGGTAGGCCACCCGCCCGTTCTCCCCGGCGTCCGCGTCAGCGCCGCGAAGGGAAGCAACAACCGTGTCTGGGGGCCGGTTTTCCGACACACTTACCTGTAAAGGGAGAACGCCCTGGAGATGATAAGGCAAACGAAATTCATTCTTAAATAACACATACACCATCAAAAAATGTCAAGAGTAGATAATGTTGTACAATTTGTTTAAAATTTTTACTATTGGGATGCTCACTGAACTTACCAAAACAACAGGTATACCTGCTTCGTATGCATTGACTAATGGGTGCTCAGCATAGGGCGACCCCTGTAAAACGGGCCAATCAGGAAACGACTTTTGAAAGATGTTTGCAAGGCGGCTTCGTGGAAAAGGGGAGACAATAGCGGACTGGTGGGCCCTGTGTGATGTCGGAACTCGTGCGTGGACAGTTATCTCTGGTACACAGTCGTTTTGGTCCAGTATCTCAACCTAGATGCAGAAATGAGGTTCAAAACAAATGCTACCACTTTAGTAAAAGTAGAGAAGATATTACCTCCACGGTAGCAGTTGAAGTTTTCGATGGTGAACCATCATCCTGACAGCGGATGGTTATAAACTGTCTGTGTTCTCGCTCCCTGTCGAGAGGAGTCTTTGTATTAAGGACATACTCACTGCCTCCGGTGGCGGTGTCAACTTGGCCTCTCAGCGTGAGTGTGTAATTCTCTTCGTGGCTTGCAAGCTCACAAGTCACGTGACCTCCAGTGGTAGATTGCGGGGTTCGGTGAAAGTTCATCCTTCTTCCTCCCCCGTGGGCATTCTCGAAAACGAATTCCGATGATTGGGGTATGTATGGATCATCGGGCGAAGAGACTGCCCCTGTAGAGCCCGCGTCGGCGTCGGTAGCACGAATCAGAGCAATGAAATGATCCGGCGAGCCATTCTCCATCACTTGCTTGTGCTTCACGGCTTCACTATTGGTAACGTAATCTATGCTGATTTGGGGTGCTTCGTCATTCAGGTTAATGACCTAGAAATCAAAGATGACACAATTAAATACAAATCAAATATTTATTTACATAATCCGCCAGTTATCAAAAGAAACGTGGCCACAAAATGGACTCTTTAATTTACACTGTCCGAAGGCATTAAGCAGACATTAGTCAGAGTAAGAGGTCGACCTTTTACCTGATCATTTCAAAAAAAAACAAACATAAAATGAAAATGTCACATTGAAAAGACCGGTGCTTAAATGTGAACTAAGCCTACTGTTTGACGAACGGCCACACTTTATGACTGCTTGCCCACGCAAAAAATTGTGTTGATCCATGAATTATGCAAGCCAATATAACCAATCGGCTGAGTTGCAGCAGTGTCATCAGCCGCCCTGATAATGGATATGGCAATCAACTTAAAAGACGCTGCCGAATTACAACTTTTCTAGTGGCAGCTCACATTAATTGTCACTTTAGTTGTGGACGAAGAGTTTTTTGGTGGCTTTTTGGCAGAGCTTCCACCTCCTGAACCGTCGTCGTTAACATCGGGGTTTGTTGCAAGCACCGTGAAGACAAAGCCCCGTTTGACTTCGTAATCCAGGGGCCGATGCACGAAGATCTCGCCAGTGCGTTCATCCAGTCTGAACCAAAACGTGGGCAGAGCCTGCAGCCGAGCCAGTCGCTCCGGTGAGACTGGACTCCCGAGCGTTGCGGCTACCTCCTCATCAGTGAGGAGGCGGCTCAGGAGTTTGGTGTCTGGACCGAAGCGCTCGTAATCGTGGAACCAGGAGTAGTGTATTTGGGCGTTGACACCCTCGTCCTCGTCACGAGCTACAACCTTAAGAATGGGCTTGTCGTCTGAGACGTGGCCTTCCTCCACGCTGATTTCATAAGTAGAACGTTCAAAACTTGGCTCGTGGTCGTTCACATCAGTCACCTTAAAAAAGGAGACTCATAAAGCAAGCTCAAGTTGATTAAAAAGGAAAATATTGGTTTCAAAAAAATATATAACTAGGCTAAAGCATTGCTTTGGCCTGTAATTATTTCGGAACAACCAGGTAGACAGCGACTCCGTTCATTTGCAAGTTATAATCCAATCTCTAAATGAGCAGCAAAACTATGACAAAGGAAAATGTTTGATGCTGCATCAAAAGACTAAGACAGCACTGGTAACAGAGGGTTTGTTGGATGAAAATTAAGGTACATAAATGTACAAGATTTGCGGGAGCTCGAACTTTCCCGGGTTAGCCTAAAACCACGATTTTGTAGTTAAAAGGTGGGCAGAACGAAGCCATGTTCCCGAAAGCATCCTTGATGGGACAAAGGTTAAAAAAATTAACTTCTCTAAGCTCCGTACTGCATCATGTTACACATGTGTCCATTTCAAGTTAGATAACAGTGGCTACCATTGTGTTTTTCAACCAGAAAGTTCAATGGCATCACAAGTGGTTTCATCCGGTAGCAGTGCAAACCAGAGTTTATAAAAGCTAATATAAATAACTTGGGGGTTTATTTTATAGACTTCATGGCTGATGTAAGCAAATGTTTTGGAGTCGTTGAACCACCTAACCCCGTGAGAGTAGGCAGAAGATACCTACCCTAATTCTAACCGACAATGTTCCTGTACGAGGAGTTGGTGAGCCTCCGTCAATCGCCAGCACTCGGAATTCGAATAGCTGATGGCTTTCACGATCAAGCGGTGCGATAAGTAGGAGACTGAGACCTGTTATTGGTGCGTCCGTTTCGAAATGAGGTGAAGAATTCGGCTCGCGCTTTTGTACCTCTAACTTAAAGTACTTTTCAGGGTACGTGGAGGACGAATAAGACTGACTTCTTCCTTGTTCAAAGACATATCTCTGTACGTTGAAAGGAGGGGCGTCAAGGTCAGTTGCCAGAGGAAGGGGCAGCCTATGAGTTCCCACTTGAGCCGCTTCTGAGATGTTAAGGATAAGCAAAGGAGTCGGATTGCCAGCACCGTTAGTGTGGCCTCTCAGTGTTTCCGTGTAATGGATGCCCTTCGAATCAAGTTCTGGAACCTACAGGACAATTACATATAGGTGGGTACCCAGAGACATTGAAAGTATTAAAGAGCAGTATTATGCAACAAACCCGTGACTCAAACGGTAAATCGCTGTGCATAATATTGTACAATTATTCATGTTTTTTGTTAAAAGGTTTTGTGGGCTATTCAGCAAAATAAACTAGGTACGAATCGAGCGAACTATGTAGTGGATATGTAGATGATGTGTGAAGAACGATTTGTTATCCCCTCGGTTAGTGAAAAGCCTTTAGAGTCTTTGTTTGAAAAAAAAACATTAGAAACAAAATTTGGGTTTAGTTTAATGGTTCTGAAAGGGAACACTGGCTTCCACGTGTTTGTTCTGCTTGTTGTCGAGGTAATTGAGAACGAGAAGCAACGGTATCGCACGCAAAGCTAACTACCAGAGACTTTAAACATGGGCGCACTCGTCTTTGACGAAAATAGCGAAATAAGGGAAGGGAGGAATGAGAAACACAGGGCATGAGGTGACACGGAAAGATAACCCATGTGATGACAAGCAGCAGAAAACGCGGCATGTTACGATGCTATCTGGAATAACACTGCGTGACAGGCGCGTGGGTTCGCTCCCCGCCGCCAAGGCACCGTCGTCCCACGCAGATTAAGATAACCACTGGTTCGTTCTGTCATTACCATCGTTGCTACTTTTTTCTAGTACACTATTTAAAAAAAAGCGGCGAACATCCTAATCAGACGACAATTTCAATTCGTCGCCAAATCCGGTAGCCCACAGAGAAACTTGGGTTCCCGTAAGATGACACACAGCCTCATGATGGCGCTGGGGGGCTATTTGGATGCATTAACTCTGGTAGTCTGATACTACATCTTAGCCTCAACCATTAGTGGCGGCAAAAAATCTTGTATTCAAAACGAATGTAGGATTTAGGTTTGTAGTCACGAATACACAAATGTTTTTTTCCAGGGTGTTTTGGGAGCAGGAATCCAGAATGACACTAAAAAAAGGTTTTAAACACGCCTTGATTGCAATTACAAGTGTGTTAACACAAATGGATGAAAAAAGGGGATTTTATGCATGTTACGAATTGCGCTAGGCCACAGCAGAGACATGCTTTTAATTTAGATACTGTGAGTAGTCGTAAAAAAGAGAAGCAGTGAACATTAGTGGCATTTTACACACGGTAGTAGTGTATAAGTGGATTAAATTAAATGTCTGTCCTAATTAAATGAGTCTTCCCAACCGTTTTAAAACCAGCCGCACCAGCCATCGTACAAAATGAGCACTTAAAATCCTCAATATCAGAGGAATCAGCGCTCACGTTCCCCACTCCACCACGTTCTGTTCGAGTTAAAAGCTACCTCTGTGAAACAGCAAATCCTTTTAGTAAAGGCGGAAGAACCACACGCCCAGTTTGTCCTACAACTACTCCGGGTAAGCAATAATTGGAGAATGTTCGGTAAAGGGGAGAGGGGAAGATAAACTTCAAAATAGAAAATGCGAGTGCGTGCGGTCAGCCTAGAAGTTCCGAGTTGGCAAATCAACGCGACAATTTTGGCGGATTAACCAGGCCTCTACATTTTAGATGCCCAGCGACAGAGAACAGAAAAATTGGCATAAAAATTTACAAGAACTAAAGAGGCTAGCATAGCATGGTTCTAATGCTAATCAAATTTGACTGACTACTGTGAAATGCGCTAATACAATGTTAAAGAAATAGCCTTGCTTAACATGTAACAATATTTGAAGTTTGAAAATTAGCAAGATGATTCTAAAAATAATCGTTTAAAGTCAAAACATGAAAACCGCTACAAGGTTCTCTTTGGAATGCACGTATATAATCTCCTGACTTGAAGCCACCTATTAGTCACATTACCAATGAGACAGCTTAAAAATTAGAATCTACAAGAATAACAAATTTGTTAATGCGTCCCTTGTCCTTCTATTACCCAAGTTTATAACAGCCAGAAATGATTTTGGCAATTTCCAACCAGAGTCATATCGAATAAGAAGCATAGCTTGTGAAGATGAAAAATCTGGGTCCAGTAGAGTAAGAGGAATATGGTAATTTCGGGTTAAGCGCTGGAACCTTACAAACCCCAGGATGACAACTGAGGCCTTTTGCTAGGGAGCAACAGTTTCATAACACTGAGAGCCCATTTGCCGCCGAGGACTTTTGTGTTTAATGAAGGTAAATGTCCAAAAATTAAATCATGCAATCATTCAAAGTTAAGCCAGATGAAGTTATTTTTACAAACAGGTAAGTTTTCTTATTGAAAGGAACACATCGATAAAGCATGCGTGTGCCGAAACACTTTGTTGAACAACTAATACGGCTTGAGACTTAGAAAGTTAAGTGCATTCCATGTTCACAACCTGATTTCACACTTACGAGAAACTCCCTTTAGAAAAGAGATAGGATGTAGAAATCCGGCAAGCGTGAATGGGGGCATTGGTGTGAATGAAATCACAACCCACAAAATGTAATTGCAAGAAAAGTAACATGGGCGGAAAGCAGACTGGCTGGACACATATTCGAGATAGACATTTTAACATGTGAAAATGTGATGGTTGTGTATTTCGGGGAATGTTTCCTCCCGATAACACTACAAGCCTTATACTGCGGAATACCAGACAAAACAAATTAATTATGTGGTGGAATTTTGGTAGTGATGCGACGTCTTACGTCAGCCTCCATGATGGCATAGGTGCAGCATTTCGTAATAAGATCATGCACGGAATATTGACAGTGGCAATGCATTAAAAGCCAACCAAACTTTGCGCGTTTTACCACCCTAATTGTCTCCTGGTGTCGTTCATTCGTGATCAAATTGACCTATCACAGATTGTCATCTACTGAAAGAAAAACAAATAGTTTCCATTCATGCTTTGCATGCCTCGTAGCCATACACGCATTACTAAAGCCTTAATGGAAGGTTTGTTTGCGATTGTCTTCACTCTCTTTAAACATGACTCACACGTTTAACTAATGGCTGCTACTTGGGCCACACGAAAGTCACCAAAACCTTCTCCCTTTACCCTCATGGATTGACGATACCCAAAAAGTAAAACACTACCTGACCTAAACAAAGGTACCATCTACTAGATTAATCGAAACCAGTAACCTTGGAAAACATCCAACTGAAAACTTGACAAAACACCAGTTTTTGGGCGACCAGAAACGGTCACATTTGCTTGAGCCATTGTGCAGGCTAAGTGTTAATGATAGTTTTAAAGGATCTGCCACAGAATGATTCCTCGCCAAACTACTGGTCGGTAATGCTTAGTAAGATTTGGACACAAAGATTAGATCATTAACTTTTTGACAATGAGCAGATTTAATAAAACTTATCTCAGAAGTGACCAGGTTGACAAACACCTCAGGGGTTGGTAATTAGCCTGATCACCAAAGCAACTTACCCTCGTTAGTCTTATTTTTTTTAAAGTTGGAACGCCACACATGCCCAGTGCTGACGGATACGACTGAATAAGTATTTATCCCTCCGAAGTAGAACGCATGTTCGCCCACCCAGTTGCAGGGACGCGATAGTAAAGGAGACCGACGCCAATCAACACTCAAGCCACCGCCTTTTCTTAAGTGATCGACTCAATTACTCAAAAAAAATGACAGGGCAGACATCACAAATCACCGTTGTTTTTCGAGTATTGCAACTTAGCTTTTTTTGTCAATTTCGGTATGTTTATGCATGAGTAGAATTGGCTTAGGCCAAAAGCTACAGCATATTCAAAAATTTGCTACGTTGTTCTTGTAACATTTAATAATTTGGACACACAATAAATTAGCTCACTCAAGAAGGCGAGCAACCCTTAAATTAACATCCAAACATGGCGTTTGGATGTCCAATGGATTTAGAATCTTCATATTCGATTCACGGATTAATTATTTATCTACAGAAGAAAGGTAAACGCATGTTCAACAGAAAGATGACTGCAGTTTCTGTGGACAGGCACAACCTCGGCCCAGAAATTGGGGCTGGAGCCGACTAAACGCTTTCAAGAAATCCAGCGTCCAATCACCACCAGGCGCTCAGGCAGACAGGTAGGCTGACACGACCGGTTCGTCGCATTACGCAGAATCTTTTCACAAAGAAGTTAGTCGTTAACTGTGTAAACTTGGCAATTTAGTCACTGTCATTCTTGCACGTAACAACTAACACCACATAAAACAAAGAAGAACCAAGTCGTTTTCCATTCTCCAGAGTTTTACACCAATTTTATAACGTTCTTCACTTCACTTCTATGATTCCTTCAATTATAAAGCGTTCTATTGCTGTATCTGTTTATCTTCATTCACGTGTGTACTTTTTAGTTACTTGTTCACACACCACCAGAAGGATGGAAACAAGTTTAAAATGGACGAAGTTGTTAATTATAAAAAGGAAAGCATTGACATGTACAGCTGAAACTGCGCAAGTATGGGGCTGTAGGGCATAACTTTTAATTAATGACACCCTGCTGCATTTTCAAACCCAAGACAAGACGTTAGCACAAACGTGGGCTTAAAATTGGTACCCATGCAACACGCGAAGTTGACTAATTAATGACAATCAGTTTGGACGACCAGATAAACTTTCTCAACAATTTGGTACTTCACATTGGCAGTCTTAGAAACAGCTTACCTCCACAAGTAATAGAAAATGTTATGTTCAGGGTTGTACTGCGCCTAAAAAACGTGGCAGTCCGAATTTTCAAAGGACTCATCATTGAAAAGCAAAACGAAACTGTGTTTCATAAGAGAAGGCAAGTGCGTGTATATTTTCCAGAGAATGCCCGAAAAACCGCCATTGGCATTTTTGTGCCTCAGACACTGACCAAAAAGTACCTCGGCGAAGTGAATATTTTTTTACACTTCTTAATGGATGACCTTAAAGTGGTGCCCATTTAATGATCGAAATGATTGCCATGGGATAACCTGTGTGTCATCAGCAAAAACCAGTATTTTCCAAACGAAGTTAATATCAAAGCTCAGATTCGTTTAACTGTCAACTATGCTAAATACACAAGGAATTGGAGAACTGACCACCCCATATGGAGATAATCAGCATCAATTTATCGAAATTAAGCATTATCCAGATTTATTTTAAATAGATAAACATGAAGTACAGTGTGCCAACAAAAGACGATCAAGTAAATAACTGACACATCAAAATCAAAACAGACCCATCCGCCAAGCGCCTGTGATGCCCACTGTAGGCTTCCGTACATACCAAGCATCACTATACATCAAAACATGAACATTCGTCCAAAATTATGCCCCCTTTTAAAGAGAAACCCCCAAACACACAGTTTAATAAAGAACACTTACGATGAAAGTTGGGGCGTGGTCATTTTCATCCTTAACTTCAATGAAAACCTGATGTGTAGAAGGAACCGAGCCCCGATGATGCCCCGCCGTGACTGCCACATCTAGCCTGAGCACACACACTGTGCCCAATTCTCCATTGTCAGCGCTCCGAGTGGCGCTCAGTCGCGATAGCTGGGAGGCCTGGGAAGCGTGGGCACAGCAGAGACCGGAGTCATGACACAACATGTCCCGATCAACCACCCGACGTGTCACCAGCTCACCCGTTCGCTCGTCAACACGAAAGTAGGTGTTTACTGGGGTTTTGAGCAGTGCGTAGGTGACTGTACCATCTTGACTACCAGAGGAGACGCTAAACGGGTCTCCAAGGACATTTCCAGCGACCACAGCGCCCTTGGGTGTATTGTCGCCTAGTCCAATTGTTTGGTGGGCATTCGATATGGATCCAGTAATCCATAAGATCAACAGTATCGGCCTGTAAGTTCGAAGACAAGCCATTTCGTCACAAAATGGGGACTAAAAGAGCAAGTAACGAGGGATTCTGCTATAATTTGCACACATAAGTCGGCAAGGATACAAAACGGAAACTGACAAGTTGACCATGCGCAATGTTACTCAAAAATGTCAGATTGTAAATAGGCTAGTAGTACCAATTTTAGATTTGAAAACGGCTTGGGACAGAGAGTGAGTAGGGGACAGAACAATAAATGCATAGCAGGAAAAACCCTTCACCTTTCATTTTAAATAAAAGTAGAAGAGTCGTTTTAACTATAATATCACTCAATTTGCTGAACATATACTACCGAAGACTATAAGGAGACCCAATTTATATTCAGGACTAAAAGGTTATCAGTAATCTGTTTAACCAACAGTACCGCTTTGAATAAAACGAATCGGTGACTTTTCAGGTCGGCTACATCATGCAAAGTTCTCTTTGTTATTGCGGCTGGAGCTGGCAAAATGAAAATAACTTGTCTTTGGTGAAAGCATTTCATTGAACGAAAAGTAGCGAAATCGGTTTTATTTGAACCTTCCGGCAATAAAATTTATACGTACGTATAATGCCTTTAGCCCGACATCGATATATCATGAGTTCAAATTTCTTAGAGCTTCAAGAGGGGCCTCGCAGCAATCCACTAATTTTTTTTACGTTTTCGACTCTCAGTACTGAATTTTCCTAGAAGGTACCTCAATTGGCAATGATTTGGCAATCGGGATGTGTGGTGAATAAGAAATCTTAGGACATAGCATAACGTTTTTGTAGATGCCACACACGATCGATGGTGCCAGGAAGGACCATCGAGGACGCCACTTATGCTTTCGACTCAACATTTCGTGCAAATTGTCGGTTTCCGTATCGTCAGTAGTGAAGCTATTACTAATTAAGAAGCAGCAGCTTTACTCCTTGACGGGGAGGCAAGAGATTGACGAGGTTCCTTCTCTCCAGTAACCTCTACCTTCACTGGCGCCAGTCGACAATTGCGTGCAAGAAAAAATACGAGAACCAGAGGTCGGGACAGACCGCCAATTAATCTGATTACGGTCTGCTTCTGGCGCCGTTCTTCGGCTTGTGTGAGAAAGAAATTATCACTCTTCAGTCGCCACTGGACCGGAATAAGAAAAACCTTCGTTTCACCATCACTAGTCGGTGTAGTTGACTTTGTTAAATGCACTTGATGTTCATTTCAGAAACTCCTGTTTTTGAAAACTACGTGGCACAAATTGACGTTGATTTTGAGAGGCAAAAAACGTCAACTTTGAAGAAGAGCTGCAAAAGTTGTCCACAGAGCACCTCCCACCCCTCGAAAACCTGCTGATAAGTGAATCATCGGCCCGTAAATTTGACATTTACTGGCTTTTTAAATTAAGCAAAGCAGGCATGTAGCATCATATGATTTTTAGTTTTCAAAACGTTAAAACGTAGGAACAAGAGGAAAACCGTAATAAACGACATATCCGGTGCACGAATACACTCAACCTCCTATCTCAAAGCCCAATATGCAATTTCCATAAATGGTCGAAATAGCCATAGATCGATGTTACGGTAACTCCTAACTTAACCAAGTTGCTTAATTGAAAGTCACTTGATTAATTCATTGGAAATAGCGCCTACGAAAACGGTGATGACTTTCATTTCATTTTAACTAAAATTGTCTGATGCGATGGCCTCGGTAAAAGCAACCTATGACCCAGTTAATTTGAATATGTTCTGAAATAAACGTATACCGAGACAGGAGTCGAGATTCTTCGATAAATATATATGTTCCAATGGTTCCATCCGCAGATAAATCTTTTGCGCCCTCAATAGTGTTTACGTTCGACCACTTCACAACTTAGTGGCCTAATTGAAATCAACACCAACTCCACAAAGCTAGTTACAAAGTGCAGACTTTTAGTGAAATCTCTCTTGCCTTCGTGTTGCCATTCCTTTACACTAACGAGCACCGTTTTCTGATGACTAAATGTCGTACTTATAGACAAGCTGTGATAAGGACACTTAAATCGGAACAAATAACTAAATATGAGGCAAAGTAAATTGATATTCAGTAGTACTAAAGTAGTTTCCACCAGCCTGTTTTCGCAAAGGGATTCTTTAAAGATGTTCCTTTTGGTGAAAACTATGAATATTGAATTTAATTAAACGAAAGTAGACATTTTAGGTGGAAAGAGGCTCTTGAATCAATTCTTACAATAATGATTTTGGCTTGTGATCTCAAAATTAAAGAACAGCATATCGTAATACAGCTATTCAGCTCGGTGATGCATTATATTCTCTATTCATGAAAAGGTTGGTGATTTTATTCGAGAAAGTGGATAAATTTAACAATGCCAAATTGCGTCCCGGTTGCAGTGGAATAGCCGCTTAACTAAAACAGGGAAAAAGGGTTTGCAGCTATTTTCTATAACAAGGTTTACCCGTAGATGCACTGATCACCATCACAAACCCAGAAGTCAATCCACTTCTTTTTAAACTAGCACATACCAGTCTATTCAGGTGGCGAAAGATGTGCAAAACAAATGGGTTTACAAACGGCCTATTATGGCGCACAAACTTACAATGTCATCAGTGTCAAAAGGAGTGTTTTTCTTGGACAAAAACGCCCTCCAAGCAACAGCTCACTGCCTAACTTCTTTCTACCTTCATTCTGCGTGTCCCTAATTGGCCGGTGAGCTTTTTTTGTTTGCCTTCCCTTGTATTTGGGCGCACAAAGAATAGAAATCCCAACGGGAAGGAGGGTGGGGTGACGTGGATCACGAACACAAACACCTCTCCTTTCGTTTTGTGTAACGAAAAAAGCGGGAAGCGACGCCAGGGGATTTTGCAGTTTATGGAGAAAGGAATTGCACCTTGGACTGATAAGAGTGAAACCTGCAGCCAAACTCAGATGTCTTTGCCAGGGTTCTCATTTTCAAACATTATTTTAAGCAGCTGAGGAAAATTTTCTACCACCAAGTAGCATTGTGGTGATTCATTAAATCATGGGGTATACAAAGACAAAACTGCATAAAGAACCGCTAGGATCGGTTTCTAAAGGAGAGGGTGATGCATCGCCTGTTAAATTACTTGATTTAAGAAAATGTTTGCGTTAAGAAACACACCACTTTATGGTCTTGGAAGGATGGGCTCAGTCTGTCTTGATCAATAACAATGAAGTTTTTAGTAGTTCAAACAATTTGCGAATCTGAAGCCTTATGTAAACCTGTCCATGACATGGCACATCAGTAGAATGAATGTATAAACAGGTTATGTTTCTACAAATTGATGGAAAAGCATTCCTTGACAATGATGTTTACGAATAAATACTACTTCCTAGGATGAGGAACAACCAGTGTCCAGAATTCTGATGTACCTCTGTGCAATTAGAAATTCATACTGTCGAAAAGCGTCTAGGAAGACATGACACTTTCTAAGAGGTGGCAAACATACAGTCTAAGTCTTTGGTTACATGTTTGTTATTGACACCCAAAATCTTACATTTAACAAAGGAGTCATCAGCGACTTGGCACGACTGAAGTGTTCTCTGGCGTTTCGGGACGCGAGTAAAAGTAGTACTTCAAAAAATTTATTTGGTTTATTCTAAATGCCGAATTTTTAGAAAAAAACGTCTGCGGAACCACACGAATCTCAATATATTTGAATAAACTGAGAGGGAATTAGAACGTGAAGGCCACAAATTTGGAATTGACGAAACCCCATAATTAAAGGCCTACAACCTAACAAGTAATACCGTATTTGGTTGACTTTTTTAGTTGACAGGACTAAATATGGTTGTAGACCCAGTCACACGAAGAGCTCCCCCCCTCAGCACACTGGATGCCGTGGGACCGTCTGCATTTTTAAATCACTGTGTTGGGAGAGGACTTCAGCCATATTTTAGCTAGAATTCCACTCTCAGGGAGCGATAGAATTGACGTTAATTGAGCCTTCACTTTAGCTGGCTAAATGTGCGAGAGAAAACGTTTGACTGATATGACGTGTAGGGCGTGACAAAAGGCGGTCACGCAACGTCTGAGTTTGTATTTTGCATGAGGCTATTGTGAACACGAAAGTCTTGAAAAATTTATACCAATCAACAGTGGGGGGAACGCCCCCCAGTGTCAATTTCCCGGATATGCTGACAATGAGCCTTAAGCTACATTGAATGCTGGGCAAATGAAAAGGAGGCACGTTAGTTACCAACAAAATCACCGTTCCCGAGGGTTAGTGTGTACAGGAGGAAGGGTACTTAGGTAGACGAACTGCCACAATGCGACCAACACAAATCAGCAAAGCAGCTTCCAGTCTGGATCTTTGCAATTCTGCGATTATCGACCAGAACTCTACATCCCGCTTGGAAGACCCTTTTTGATTATTCCTCAGACCAGATGACTTAGTGGATACACAAGTAGGCAGCGGACCCTCAAAATCACAATCGTCTATGTAAATCTACATCAGTTAGGCATTAGGAAGATGGCAATGTGTGGTTATGCCGCCTAGAGCAACTCAGATTTGGCACTTCAATTAAGTTCTAATTTGATTAGACAAAATTATTTAGCCTGTCCAGAGACAGTATACACAGCCGCAAGTTGCTGAGCAAACAATATTCAACGCATGCATTGATATTGGGGCGAGTGAAACCCTCCTTCTCGTGGCATTGCGCTTTTAAGCTATTCGTTTATAAATTTTTACTTGTCTCCCAGGACAAAAACCATCGACTGGCAACCGAATTCTGCACTCAATAGTGGTTGCCTCCGTTTCACAGAGTCATTGTATTGTTACTCTAAGCTACAAATTGATGTAAACTCATAAACCAATTAAACTGCTGCTGATTTTGTCATAATCAGAGCCACAGTTCGGAGACCTGTAGATCATTTTGTGTTCGTGTTCCGAAACAACTGTCTAAAAAAATACCTCCACGGATAAAACCAGCCTACTGGTCCAGAGAGCTGGCATGTAACACAGACAGTAAGGAGCATAAAGTCAACACACGAGTTTAGTCCGACGCAAAACTGGTTAG